CACACACACCATTCCTACACATTTATATTATCAGACCTTCACTGTGTCACTGCAATGAATTACAGATCAGCGCTACACCAATTAAAGTATTGCTGTCACACCTGATGACTTGGTGCTTCCGCCAGCTAGTTGTGTTAATCATCAATTAGTAAAATCAATAATATTAAATTCTCAATAAATGAGAATGTTCTGTCTGTTGTGTTGGTGAAAACTTGATTTGCATAACTTTAGTTGGAATTGATCATCGACATTTTTTACCTCGGCTGACGAAGTCAGATGCAGCTTGTAGAATCGCATGATTGTCCGTCCGTTCGTCCGTCAGCAGTTGGGCACAAATCTTAACCGCTCGACGACGGTCTTGATATTCGGGACGGGAGGGGGGTTGCGAAATGGACTCGGGGGTAGTCGAATTTGGGGGGTCAAGGGTCAAAGGTCAAGATGTGTTAATGAGGGGGAATATTTCCCTCTTAACTTAAGGTATAGGAGGAATACGGAAATTGCGCACAAATCTTCAACGGCTCGACTACGCTCTTAATATTTGATGTATAGTGTGATGGGAGGAAACCCATCACCAGCGCGAAATTGGAGGTCACAGGTCAAAGGCAGTGGGGAAAATCAGATATCAGATATTTTCTGAGGACATGGTCTAACGGACCGAGTGCAAAACTTTTTTGTTTCAGCGCTGATCCTAGCCTCGTTTTATTCTACGTTATGAAGACCATGAAATCTAACTTTCGCCTGACGTGCGTAAGAGTAGTAGTCTAATAACCTTTGACCTCAAGAGAGGGTTAACATGGATTTGTTGACTGTTAACAAAGGACTGAACTGCTTTTGCTATTAGAGCCCCCTCCACCCTCCCCCACCCTCCTACTCCCCCACCACCACCACTACGCTCGCGCTCCACGCATATCCATGATAACATGTTAATATAGCTAAGTCATTAAAGTTACACAGCTGTCTCTTTATTACTGTACTATCAGTAGGTATAGCAAAGCCTATCATAGATTTTAGATCTGTATTAGTAGTATCCTAGATATATGCTCTGAGCGCGAACGCGGTGGCAGGAGGGCGCACTTGATTTGGTTGCCAGTGAGTTTATCAGAAGAATACCTGGTTACAGTACACGTGAGTTGAGCCCTTACGCTCTGCAGCACTTGTTATAACATTAAAACATTCATGTTGATAGAATATTGGATTACAAAAGTTAGTATGTAGTATAGTTTTAACCTGATTTAACTGAAAATGGGCATTGGACCTGCACCAACATTCTTGTCTAACTAAACATAGTGAAACTCTTGCTTAGAAGAAATAGTTTTCACCCAAATAAAAATTAACCATTAGTGTCCAAGGGCACTTTGAGCACGTTTACGTGTATTGTGCAAGCAGCGGACTGCATAGCTAACACCAGTTGCTGTGCAGGCACTGTTTTATGTTGAGAACATATAGTTTTATGTGAAATTAACAACTTTTAGTGCAAGATTATTTGGTTTTATTTTAGTTCATCCACATTTAGGGCAATTACTACTCTCAGTAAGAGAGGTGTGTCTACATGTGATATTACTACAGTGTACATCGTGTGCAGCAAGCCCATACAAAGTGTTTTTGTTTTATTTTTATTTTTGTGGATTTACTGAAAAGGTTTCTTGCAACTAGTTAAATGCAGACTTTGTGAGCCTTTTAGTTTTATCTGAAGTGATTGATTGAGTTGAGCCTTTTTAAGCAGCACCCTTTAAAGATTAGTTAAATATATTATGTTAGCTTACCTGGTCGTGTTGCTAGACGTTCCGCAGCTGATATCCGCGCGAAGCGCGCTTCTCGCGCCACCTTGTGGCGCCATTTCATATAACTCGCTGCTCCCCATTTAGAAACATTTCCACGGTTATGTAAAATCGGGGTGTTATCGGTCAATTCAGGAGTTGTGGCGCTTGCACAAACCTTTGGATTATGGACGTAGGGCGAGAATAACTCCAATGGTCGTAATTGGGATTTTTTTGGGTTGGCGCGTGAGTTTTTCTTATAGAAAACCCATTTCTAATCTATTTAATTACACGCCCTGAATTTATTGTGGTGGAATTTAAACGGGGCGCAACGATTCAAACAGGTGGGAGTTTTCCCAAACGGGGCGCAACGATTCAAACAGGGGGGAGTTTTCCCAAACGGGGAACAACGATTCAAACAGGGGGGAGTTTTCCCAAACGGGGCGCGCGCGCCCCGTTTGCGCAACGTAGGGAGAACCCTGATGTGGCTAAAAGTAAAATAGCACTCTATTCATCTGCTGTACAGTGGCGACCTCTGTATACATTCGAGCAGTGTACGCAAGACACATTGCCACTATCTGTTTCAATAGTCAGAGCCTGCGATTTCCTATACACACACGACTATAATGAGAATTCCTAGGCATTCACAAAGTTTTGTTGATTGTAAATTTAATTTGTATGACCCTTTTTTGTACAAAATTATCAGTAATGGACCCAAAAATATAGGAAATTTCATATTTGGGATTTCATATTTGGGATAATTCCGATATAAGATTTTAGATTGATGGTAACATGTACTTGTGTGGATATGATATTTGCGCTGTCGATGTCCTGTGAAGAATACGGCCCCATTGTGCTATATAGGTTAAACACGCTTTTATTCAACTGTTATGGCTTTAGTGAAATTTAGTGTATGTATTTTGTCTTACAGGGAAATGAAAATTCATTGCCGATGGAGATGTGTTCGCATTGTAAGTATAACATCTTTTGAGATTAGATAGAGCCAATTTATTGTTTTCTTGGTAATCTAAAATCGTGTTATTAACGTTTTTTGACATTTTCTTATTTTCTTTCTTTTTTCCTCAACTTTTTTATTTACCACAGAGAGTGAGTGTGACAATCTACTAAACATTCTACCTCGCAAAAATTCCTTTCCGCCTGTTAGTATTAAAGATATCCTTTCGTATCGATCGCACTTTCGTATTACGATATTTCGTACAAATACGTATACAGGTAGGTCCTGTTTTACGATGGTCCATTTTACGACTTTTCACATTAACGACTTCAAAATTACCTAAAAAATTGTAAATAACAAAAAAATTGCAACTCAATAACATCGCAGCAATGCCTGTGAGTCCAAACACGCAATATGCACTTCTTTTGTTTTTCGTGGTGCATTATGGTGGAATGATAGCATTTAATTGTGTTATAATTTGGTCTTGTTTTACGACTTCATTTTACGGCCTTGTTTTACTGGAACCTAACCCTGTCGTAAAATTGGGGCCTACCTATATACGTATATATATATATATATATATATAAATACAGTGTTCGAAATAAGGAACTTGTCTACACATTTATATTATCAGACCTTCACTGTGTCACTGCAATGAATTACAGATCAGCGCTACACCAATTAAGTATTGCTGTCACACCTGATGACTTGTGCTTCCGCCAGCTTAGTTGTGTTAATCATCAATAGTAAAATCAATAATATTACAATTCTCAATAAATGAGAAATGTTCTGTCTGTTGTGTGTGGTTGAAAACTTGATTTGCATAACTTTAGTTGGAATTGATCATCGACATTTTTTAGCTCGGCTGACGAAGTCAGATGCAGCTTGTAGAATCGCATGATTGTCCGTCCGTCCGTCCGTCAGCAGTTGGGCACAAATCTTAACCGCTCGACGTACGGTCTTGATATTCGGGACGGGAGGGGGGTTGCGAAATGGACTCGGGGGATGTCGAATTTGGGGGGTCAAGGGTCAAAGGTCAAGATGTGTTAATGGAGGGGGAATATTTCCCTCTTAACTTAAGGTATAGGAGGAAATACGGAATTGCGGCACAAATCTCAACGGCTCGACCTACGCTCTTAATATTTGATGTATAGTGTGATGGGGAGGAAACCCATCACCAGCGCGAAATTGGAGGTCACAGGTCAAAGGGCAGTGGGGGAAAAATCAGATATCAGATATTTTCTGAGGACATGGTCTAACGGACCGAGTGCAAAACTTTTTTGTTTCAGCGCTGACCTACCGTTTTTATCACGTTATTGAAAGGACCATGAAATCTACTTTCCGCTGACGTGCGAAGAGTAAGTGTCTAATAACCTTTTGACCCTCAAGAGGAGGGTTAAACATGGATTTGTTGACTGTTAACAAAGGACTGAACTGCTTTTGCTATTAGAGCCCCCTCCACCCTCCGCCCACCCCCTACTCCCCCACACCACCCACTACGCTCCGCGCTCCACGCATATCCATGATAACATGTTAATATAGGCTAAGTCATTAAAGTTACACAGCTGTCTCTTTATTACTGTACTATCAGTAGGTATAGCAAAGCCTATTCATAGATTTTAGATCTGTATTAGTAGTATCCTAGATATATGCTCTGAGCGCGAACGCCGGTGGAGCAGGAGGGCGCACTTGATTTGGTTGCCAGTGAGTTTATCAGAAGAATACCTGGTTACAGTACACGTGAGTTGAGCCCTTACGCTCTGCAGCACTTGTTATAACATTAAAACATTCATGTGATAGAATATTGGATTACAAAAGTTAGTATGTAGTATAGTTTTAACCTGATTTATACTGAAAATGCGGCATTGGACCTGCACCAACATTCTTGTCTAACAAACATAGTGAAACTCTTGCTTAGAAGAAATAGTTTTCACCCAAATAAAAATTAACCATTAGTGTCCAAGGGCACTTTGAGCACGTTTACGTGTATTGTGCAAGCAGCGGACTGCATAGCTAACACCAGTTGCTGTGCAGGCACTGTTTTATGTTGAGAACATATAGTTTTATGTGAAATTAACAACTTTAGTGCAAGATTATTTGGTTTTATTTTAGTTCATCCACATTTAGGGCAATTACTACTCTCAGTAAGAGAGGTGTGTCTACATGTGATATTACTACAGTGTTACATCGTGTGCAGCAAGCCCATACAAAGTGTTTTTGTTTTATTTTTTTTTGTGGATTTACTGAAAAGGTTTCTTCAACTAGTTAAATGCAGACTTTGTGAGCCTTTTAGTTTTATCTGAAGTGATTGATTGATTGAGCCTTTTTAAGCAGCACCCTTAAAGATTAGTTAAATATATTATGTTAGCTTACCTGGTCGTGTTGCTAGACGTTCCGCAGCTGATATCCGCGCGAAGCGCGCTTCTCGCGCCACCTTGTGGCGCCATTTCATATAACTCGCTGCTCCCCATTTAGAAACATTTCCACGGTTATGTAAAATCGGGGTGTTATCGGTCAATTCAGGAGTTGTGCGCTTGCACAACCTTTGGATTATGGACGTAGGGCGAGAATAACTCCAATGGTCGTAATTGGGATTTTTTTGGGTTGGCGCGTGAGTTTTTCTTATAGAAAACCCATTTCTAATCTATTTAATTACACGCCCTGAACTTATTGTCGTACTATCGCTACCAATAGATGGGGCGACGAGTCTCTCTTCGAGGGATGTTCGAGAGAATTTCGCACAGAAAGAACGGCAAATAGGCTTAAGACTGCCCGCGGTGTGAGAGTTTAGCGTAGCGAGCGTAAGTTTAGTGTAGCGAGAGATACTTGGCCTAATGAACGACCGTACCAGTCTTTTGGACACGAAAGCTGACTGATTTATCGTCTCATCTGGTTTGCCCGCAGCGCCCGCGAATGTTTTTGCCGTGGCGTGCCGCGTACCGGTCTATATGCACATAGCCTCGTTTCCTGTACAGCACGCGCAACCGGCGCCAACGGGTTATGACTCGCCTAACGGCTAGACTCACGTACAACACCCACGTACTCACGTACTCACGTAGTGTAGCGCGTGGAACTGTCGACCGGGTACCAGTCTATGTGCACATGGCGTTATAACCATGGGAAATTTTCTTGTGGCTCGGTTATTTCCGCAACTAAACACCAGATCGCAGCACTCAGCAGTCAACAACAACAATGGCGTCTTGCAGCAAGCGCAAGCTTTCTGAAGCAGAAGTTTTGAGCCGTATTCTTGAGTCAGACGATGATTTGTCGTCTTTCGTTGATTCAGAATCAGAAGATGAACCTGACGATCGGGATGAGGCGTATTTGGCAAACGCTATAGTCACTTAGACAGTCAATCTGAGGGTGATGGCGCCGGTGATGTTAGTGCCAGTACTAGTAATGACCGTGACAATGTTAATTGTTATTGCCGGCAGTAGTACTACTACTAGTACTAGTAGTAGAACTTGTCAACAATTTGTCAAACAAAAAATCGTGAAAAGGGGACTAAAATACAGTATATAAAACAAATTCACTCTATATTTCATTATTTTACACTTATAACAATACAAGAACACATATTTGACATAGACAATGCAACAGAACATGTATAGGAGCAATAACAACGGTGCTATACAATCAGGAATGAAAAAGGTCAAAAGGTCACGATTCGTATGTTACTGATAGCTGAAAGTCACGATTTGCATGAAATTAAGTACACAATGGGGAGCAGTTAACGGTTAAATAAGTACACAGTTAAGGGGTTAATACTGTTATGTGTGTTATGTAGTTGTAGTGTACGGCAGTTGCTGTATACCCTATAGGCCTACTGATCAATAGACTGATAGCTAAGGTTAGTAAGGCTGAGAGGGTGGACCCTGGAGCACATAGACCCTATGAGCCGTAGCAATACATGCAGAAACGCGCACAAACACATACCGTACATCGCAATACATCGTATTATATGTTAGGACTCTAGGCTATAGGCAGTACAAATAACCTGTACATAAATATAATTGGAACATTCAGGGTTTATTCATTTCTGTATTACATGAGCCATTATGAATTAGTGGGTTAATTTACGGTCCCAGTACACTTACTAACCCTCATAGGGTCTATGTCCCCCAGGGTACTGCCGGAACGTACCCTGGGTATGGTCCGATATACCGGAACGTACCTTGGTCACTATTTGATATGGTTAGGATTAGGGTTAGGGTTTGGGTTAGGGAGTAGGCGTAGGCGACTCCCTAGACTCGTTAGTGGAGTAGGCGAGGTACGGTTCGGCATATTAGATGGTACCAGGGTACGTTCCGGTGTATCACACCGTACCCAGGGTACGTTCCGGCAGTACCCCGGGGGACATAGACCCTCTCAGCATTGCTACGTGTTCTCGGCTTAGCTTAGTCACTCGATGGGTAATCGACGTGGGAGCGAGTCCCAGTCTACACAGCCATTCTCTTTGCAGCCATTTCCATTACTGGGCAAGGGTTGCGCGAACGCCGAGAATTTCGTCAGTCTTTCTGTGATTCGCGTCACACAGCTCGGTTACGAACACAGACATTATGTTTTTATAACAAGTGAACACTTTCACGTCCCAAATGTCTACCCTCTGGTGTCCCCCACTAAAAATTGCGGACTGTTCGCTGGCAGCTATGGATCCGTGGCGCCGGCCAATTCATTCGCGCGCACGGATCCATAGCTGCCAGCGCTGCCCATACTGTCGTAGGACGTTCCCGCGGTCGCGTGCGCCTTGCCGCCGGAACTGCGCGCAAGATTCGCCGCTTAAGGCGGCTTTGGATTAACACCTCCTTTCGGCAACGCTTCTCTAGTATCCCGTCTCATCTGGTTCCATGCTGCCATTCAAATTAACTTATTGAATGTCATTTGGCCGTCAACTGGTTGTTACGTAAGCCAAATGTTCCTAAACCTAATGCAAACATTCAGTGCAATAGCAGGCTTTGTGAGTGATCTAGCTAGGCATTTTTATTTTGTTTGCGTACATGACATTCAGTAAGTAGTATTATCACCTCTTAGTTTTGTGCACTTTCGAGCAAAGTTCATCGCAGCAATTACTTGCCCTTGGAAAAATCTCGACCATAGTGTATTGGGCTTGCATTGAGCTGATCTTGCTTACTGTACGTGTGTCGACCCTATATTTGCCAATTAGAAGACAGCTAGGTCAAAGTCTCTCTCTCTCTCTCTCTCTCTCTCTCTCTCTCTCTCTCTCTCTCTCTGGTTATCACATACATAGCTAGCGGCGTGACTGTATCACATCTGGTGTAATGGCTTGCATTGGTTACCTGTAGTTCTGTCCTCGTGTGTAAACTCAACACACCGTTGGGTTTGTAGTCGACTGCCTTTCGCTATTGTAGCCGGACGATAAGACTTTTTGTGAGTGCACAACTTTGCATTATCTGCACACTGACAGGGATCTGAAACGGTGCTAAATGCGTCTGGGCAGGAATTTTATTTAATAGTTTAGGACAGATTCTCAGGTCAGGAGAGTGCACGCGCGCACCCAGGTTCTCATTTCTGCAGGTTGTCGTCGTCCAGCTGCTCTGTAGTATCAGGTTCGATCCACACAAGGTGTTATTATATTGCTTTACCGCGTGTTCACATCATGGCGCAACGGATGTTGAAGAAATTGTTTAATGCGCGCAACGAGCCTGATATCATCAGCCCAACGTCGTACAGGAAGATAGAGGCTCCGGTGAGACGAGGAAGTGTGCCAAGCGAGAGGTCGTCCACAGAGATGGAAGACGCTGCGCTTCGCGCTCGCTCAGATACGATGCCAGAAAATTTGGAGGGGCGAAGCGAGAGTGATGCGCTGCGTAAAAAGATGTTGACTGCAGGCATTAGCGACATGCGTGCACCCTCGCAGGCACGGTGGCAGGAGCTTCCCCAGGTCAAGCTGATTGAAAGCAAAGCAACCGACACGTTACCTTCTAGTGGTTCCCCGTCTGCAATGAGGTTTCAATTGGTACCGCACAAGGCCTGTAAGAAAATTTCCTGTTGTGGCACTCTTACCACTTACCTGTTTCGAGAATCTCCGCCGTGAGGCTATTATATATTTTGAGAAATTTTAACCTGGTTATCTACCTTTTAAAACTATACTTGGAAAACCATTGAAATTGCTAACAAATGCTAGTTCAGTTTCACAGCATGATAAGTTTAGGAGGCCAGAAAAGATGTTTTCATAAGACATTAGAGGGACAAACTAGTTGTGTCTAAGCGTCACGATGAAGAAATGCTTAAAAAAATAGTACAGGTCTCATTACGCATATCATTTGAAACCCTCTTCTAGAGGTAAACAAAACGTATATTATTTTAATCTTGACTTTTTTCAGCTCGTTTAGCCAGTATAAGCATTGGGTAATATCTTTTAAGCTTACATGTGGCTTTGGTTGTACTTCAGGATTCATGTCCTGATTCGGTTGGAAATATTTACAATATAGCTGACAATTCTTTATAACCAAGTTTTATTTAAAGTATTTCTTTTATTTGATTTAATATTTTCTGCAGATCTATAAATTATTATTTTGCAAAAGGGTAACTCACTGTGAAAAAGTCCAACTATGGTGGGAGTGATACCACACAAAGCCTGTGAGGAAATTCCCTGTTGCGGCACCCTTACCACTTATCTGTTTTGAGAACTTGTGGCCGTGAGGCTTTTTCTATTTTGACAAATTTTATCTGATTATCTACCTTTCAGAACTATACTTGGAAAACCCACTGAAATCGCTAGCAAATGCTAGTTCAATTTCCCAACATGATACTCGTATAAATAGTTTTGAGATCGATGCCTGGAAGATATGCTTTCATAAGACATGAAAGTAACAAACTAATTGTTTCTACGTGCCATGATGTGCTTAAATAGTACAGGTCTCATAAAGCATGTTATTTGAAACCCTCTTCTGGAGGTAAACAAAACGTGTTATTTTAGCCTTGATTTTTTTCAGCTTGTGTAGCCGTTGTAAATGTAAGCAATGGGTAATGCGTCAAGCTTACATGTGGCTTTAGTTGTACTTTGGCATTGATATCCTGGGTCTTTTAGAAGTTTTTACTTTAACAACGTAACTGATGCTTCTTTGAATCCCAGTTGTAATTACAATGTTTCTTTCTATTAAATTAATATTTTCTGCAGGAAAATATATTAATATGGAAAAGGGTAACTATGAAAACGTGCAACCATATCCAACTAAATCATTTCTTGACTAAATTTATCATGGGGAGGAAATTAATGAAAAATAATAAAACAAATAATTAAAGTTGTTATAGCTTTTTATGCACTGTGGAGACATGTATGTCTATTTACTCTTTCATTAAAAAATGTATGACAGATTTATAAATTATTCATATATATCTTTTAGAAGTAATGTTAAGTCGACATAGTCATTAAAATTGTTAGTTAAAAATGTGTATATGCAGTACATATAGTAGTGCAATACTAGTATAATATGTTATCATTCACTTAACTTTCATACTGTACCTGTATTATCAGGAATGTATAATATAGCTTTTAGATAATATAATCTCTATTGTACACTCCTGATATTAAGGTATTTACTAACAAACATATATAGTTTCCTACTTGTGTACTAACAAACTTGTGTACTAGACTAGTGTGCATCAAGAGTACATAAACCATGGTTTTTACCTCCGCCCAACGGATTGGAGGAGGTTATGTTTTCGCTCTCGTGTGCGTGTGTTAGTGTGTTTGTGTGTTCGCGTGATCGATATTAGCACGTCAGCCAGCGAGCCAGCCAGCGCAGCAAGCCAGCGAGCAGCAGCAACGAGCGGCTGCTACGAGCGAGCGAGCAGCAAGCCAGCGTGTACATGTCAGTACGCTGGCGTATATCGTGGCTTATTCGTGTGTTCGTTACTCGTATGGCGTATGGCGTATGTCGCTGGCAGAGGTATGCACTCTTCGTGAGTGCACTCTGTCTAGTTGTATGTGTGTCTCACCATGCAAACAAAGTGCCTTTTTTACCCTTACTGTATGTGATCATTTTGTGTCTGAATAAGTAAGTACCAGACAGTTCTCAAAGTGTTGATCAAACACTGCTTATGTGAGCGATTTAATTTAGCCTGAGTTTCACCTTGCAGTCGATGCGGACGAGATTAAGCGGCTAGGCAAGCGCTTCCGCAAGCTCGATCTGGACAACTCGGGCTCACTGAGCGTCGAAGAGTTCATGTCGCTACCGGAGCTTCAGCAGAACCCACTCGTGCAGCGCGTCATAGACATATTTGACACGGATGGCAACGGAGAAGTCGACTTCAAAGGTAGCCTAGCAAACTAGTGAGGCGAAATCGTTAATGTATTGTAAGGAGCAGGCCAGCGCAATCAACAGTCGAATGCAAGATATCGTGTGGGTCTCCCATCTCTCTTACGGTCTTCTGGTGCGAGTATGAGCCATGGAGCGAAAACCTAAAGCAGTTCCTGTTTCGAAATTTCTTTGCACTGATTGCGCAGTTGCAGCACGGTGTGATGATTATATTCGGGCGTGTCATCGCATTGAAACTGGTCATTTTGCTGGGCGCTTGCCACTTGAGGCTAAATGTGCAGTGCCGGCGGCATGCAGAACACAGATCAGTTAATGTGCGCGGCAGGCAAAAACGTCTAAGGGTGCCATCTACAAATCCTCGGCAGAGGCTTCCCAGTGAACTGCCAGATCCAGCTGGGTCAGGGTGGGGATGAGGGGGCACTGAGGTAGCACGATGTGAGAAGCATCCGCGTATATGGGCAGGTTAGCTAACGCTGGCCAACACGGGGTAATGGCGTATGTAACGAGGTTGCGCTTCAAAGCTGAAGCTCTCATCGGCGCTCATAATCCCCGCACACTGTCTGTTGCGCGTGGCGCGGTGAGTGTGCCCGTAATGGGTCGGTCTGTTTCTGACAGTCATCGTACGTTTCTCTACGTCCAAGCCCGTGACGAGCTCATCTGTAATGCCGTTAGCCGCAGCAGGGACTACTGCTTGTAGTATGTTATTGGATAGAGCCTTGGTGTACATATTTGCAACATGAGGTCAATGAGAACAATGAGAGCAACAAGTTCTACTGCATAAATTCATTTGCCCGTTCCACACAAGTTCTGAAACTATATTTAGTAGTGATGATTCAGTGTAACAAATTTCAAAGAAGTGATCTAGTTCTTAGACCGTCAGAATTATTTTAAGGCTGAAAATAAACACATTGTCATGTCATGGAGATTTATCATGCAGTCATTAATTGTACTGCTGTTTTTGAACTGCTGTTGTTGCTGGAGTTGATGTAGGCATTGATTATTAGTTCCATAATGACTATTACAACTGATCTCATATCGACTCATTCTTTCTGTTATGCAGAATTTATAGAAGGAGTGTCCCAGTTCAGTGTCAAAGGAGATAAGGAATCAAAACTCAGGTGTAAGTACTCTTGTAACTGTAACCATGCAGGCTCACTAAAGATTTACTAATAATTTTCATTTTTGAATTCTTAATGGAAAACTTGGTTATGTCGACTCAATTTGAATTTATTTACACTAGATATTTTCTCAATTTTATCAGTAGGTTGGCACTTCTTAGAGGTGTGATATATTGGACTGTGAATGCATAATATTAATACAGAGTGTGTATTTGTGGTGGGCAATTAATCAAAATGTGTTTGAACAAATACGTTTAACCAGTTCAGCTAGCTTCACAGCCAGTTTCTGAGCAACATTTTGAGCGTTGCACTAGGCATGTGTGTAAACGACAGTATTCTATGAGCACTTCTTTGCTGTAAACTTCTGGCTTTGTGTTTCATTTACTGGACACTGATATTGATATTTCGTTTTGAGGGTCGTGTACATTAAACCTATGCAAAACAAATTGCTGCATAGGTACTATCACATTAAAGTCTATACAAATCTATATATGGGACATTGGTTTCCTTTTGGTAAATATCACTAAATAATTGCAAACATGAGGTAGTGGGATAGATTTCTAACGTTTTTGGCACACCAATTCATTGATATACTGTTGATGCGTTTATTACAGTGGCCTTTAGGATTTATGACATGGATAAAGATGGATACATCTCAAATGGAGAACTGTTTCAGGTAGGGTCAGGTTGTCTAACTAGTTAACTTAATTGTTATAAATTTTGCCTTTAGCTATACACTTTTTCAGGTCACGATATATCTGTCAGTACAGAAACATCCAAAACCCTATAGTGTAGGTAATATTACTCAACACTAAACTAAATGTAAACTATATCATATTTGCTACTCTTTGCATAAAATGAAACTTGGAGTAGTACCAACTAATTATAAAGCTCAACCTACTATGAGTGCATGTTTTCCTTGAAATATTTAATCAGTTTGCCAAGACACTAAAGATATTACTATATTAAGCAGTTTGTTAGGTGCTCTGTGCATTTGACGTACCCAAAATTTAGAGGGTAATAATCCAAGAAAACATTTCCTCTCTGCTACCAGATTCCTATTCACATTCCTTGCTTTTTTGTTAAGCCATTCTCACTTTCAGCATGGGCTAGCATGTACTGTAGGAAATTCTATACAATATATCTTACCATGGCCAAAAAATCTTAGCTAAACATAGAAGCGCAACTTTCCGTGACCTCAAACCTGAAACGTGAGATTTTAACTTCTTGCTTATTTACAAATACGCACGATAATGTTAAACAGCTAAACACATTATCCTGACTTTCAGCTTATTGGGCACTAGGTGATATTTGGGGAAAAATTCAGTGAGAACAAATTATGGGAATAGTAACATAATGTAGGTTAGGCACATAGTCAAACCTCAACTCTGTATTGTGTATGTGCATTGGGTTGTGCCCAAGTCAACCAACATATTGTCTTTCCTTTATTTTGTCTCTGCTTAGGTTAGGTACATTATGTTTCATCACAATCCATCTGGTGTTTAAGCTGTACCTAATCTGACAGCTGCCTTGTTGCAGCGCAGTCTCTGCCCTTCTCCCCTCTTCAGCTAGCTCTGATTAGGATCTTACTGACTGTCTGTACGTTGCAGGTGTTAAAGATGATGGTTGGGTCAAACCTAAAGGATACTCAGCTTCAACAGATCGTTGACAAAACGATCATTTATGCAGATAAGGATAATGATGGGAAAATCTCTTTTGAGGAATTCTGCAACGTAAGTGCTACGAAATCTCTACACGCTCTGAACCGAGAATTTGATTAATAACTTCAGATCCGATCTTCAATTGTGAAACTGTTATTCACTACAGCTGACATATCATGTTTCCTTTTCGTTGAGAGTTAGTCACTGATTCGTTTATCCAAGAATACACTATGCATTTACACGCCTAGCTACCACGTGAATAATCACAACATGGTTAAATGATTTCTGATCTTGTTACAGGTTGTTGGCAACACAGATGTTCATAAAAAGATGGTAGTGGATGTGTAACTTCCATCAAACCTCCAGCCGCTGTATTCGAAGGAGCCAGGCCCACTTCTACACAGTTCAAATGCAATTAAGCCTGTTCTCTACACCTGTAGAGTTTTCCAACCCTAAATGTGTCGTGTTTGCTCACCAGGTGTCGCCATGTCTATTGTCGTGCGCTGGAGAGGACGTTTTGTTATGTTTTGCAGTTGCATTTGAAAAGGCGTTTAGTTATCGAAAATCGACCATTAACGAGTTGAGTTTCGTGTATAGTTTATCGAATGATGCGATGAGCATATTTCAACTGTATTTATATTATGCTGTCTTGTCGAATGGCATCAATTCTAGTCACTTGTTTATACCTAGCAGGCAGTTTATGTGATGTTGCAGATTATGTGTTACTTGGAAGGCTATCGCTCTCTCCAGTACATGTTATGATTTGTGGGTGATTTATGAACGACCTTCATCTTACATCAGAATGCCAAAGAAATTCACGGCTTGTGAAAATGTATTGTACACTTGGTGGAATATTACAGACGTCGGCAAGGAACATCTTAAAGCTCACACAATTTGGCAATTTATTCTGTTCATAAAAAGTGTTCACATACGTAATGTGTGTATGTGTGTGTGTGTGTGCGTGCGTGCGGGTGTGTGGCACGTGTGTGCACGGGCGTGTTGTGAGGGTGCAGTTGGAACATGTAATCAGATTAGTTCTGAATACACATAGTAATGTGTAACGGCAGCATGAAACACCTTTTGCAGACATTTTACCCGGGGAAATGCTATATGCATTTGAAATGATGTGGATGTGTGGCGCAGTGCATCTGTTTCCCTATTTGTACATATTGTATTGTTCGATGTTTGCTTTTTTTGAAAAAATTATATATACACGAGTCTGTATGTATGGTAGATTCATCTGGGGTTTATTGATTCATTATCCAGTGCGTCCTTGCTGCTCTGGTTTGAAGCATCCCTCATATTTTAGTTAGAAGTGATAGTCAACCCCCTTACCTTGCTGGAGAGACAGAGAACAGAGAGAAAGGTTAAGCATGTTTCTACAATATAGTATAGATGCGTGTCTGATTATATGCAGATAAAGCTATTGAAAAATCGCTGCCTGTGTCTCGTTCTTTCTCTCTTTTCTGGCCGTGTCGTTTGACAGGGTGTGCGTGTGGTGTGTTTTCTTCTGAGTGGGATATGACTATATATATAGTATGTATGTATATGTATAGCTATATCATGGGATTGTTGCTTATTGTGTGATTCATATACAGAGACGTTTCATAGCTGGTTCCATTTCAATTTATTGTCAGCACTCAGTAGCCAGTTTTTCTCTAACATCGTGTATAGACATTCTTTCTACATACCATCTCACCGTCTGTATGAATTGTCTACTTGCGTTGTCTGCGAACAGTCCGCGTTTATGAATTGCCCTGTTTCCGTTATTGTTAGTAAAGGTCACCTAAGCTCTCTCTGCCCAGCTCCATTTTCTTGGTGGCGGACAGTTGCATGGTTGAATACACTGACCCGTTGTCGTTTACCCCTCATTCTGACTAATGCAATGAATATGAGCACAGATATATAATAGCCGGACATTAATGGCAGTCACGTTATTGCACTTGCACAACTTTTTTAAATATAATAACTTCGATGTTTCTGTGCTCTGCGGGAAAGGTCCCAACCCGTATATTCTGATTTTCCGCAACGTAACGTTTACTTAACTATCCATGTCTTGTGTCATTCTCTGTGGCGCTTGTAAACCCCCGTGCTACCGTTATACGTACAGTTTGTTAGAGAAAGGCATAATCCCAGCAAGAGCCAGAGATCGGACGGTTGACCGTCGGTCCCCTGCCCGATCAGCCTTCGGCAGGATGGCAAAACTGCAGCGGGGAATATCAGTGGCGTCCTCGGGGGGCGACAGTTAAGGCATGACTAGTACCTCTGCGGTTTAAGGTGTAGAATAGCCACGCTCCGCAATGTGGTGACACAGCAGGACCGCCCTCTCCCTCACCGCCGGGGAGCCTATAGACCGGGCAAATCTCTTTACAGTCTGTACATATTCGTGTGAATTTTTGTGTATATTTTGTGCATGCCCTCTGAGATGTGGTATTTGGCCGTGTTGCGTGCAGGTGTGTGAGGAACCGGGGTTGTGGCTGGCCGCGTCATGAACTCCATCGTTCGGCAGTCAGGCCAGGTCGGGCGCCATCGTAGTGACAGTTGCTTGCGGTAGGGGTGGTCAATTCACTCACGCCAATTTTCACTTCATTTCAATTATTGTAATCTTCATGGAAGTGAACCGGCGGCCTATTCTTCGCTTCATTCATCTATCGTGCATCGAATTTAGATACAAACCAGTCAGAAGTTCGTAGCATAACAGATAGGTTGGCACATCTTTACGAACACTGCGAAGGCAACTCGGAGAGCATATTAATTCGGTTTGTTAGTATATTCTGTGTTCTGGAATAATACGTTGCCGATGTTGTCTGCGTATTTCTGCTCATCTGTTCATCAACGATAAGGGTCGATTAGTACTTGAGCATGTGCTTTGCAATAGGACCTCCGCAATCGCCACCTATACTTGTATAGTCGCGTCGCAGTTGTGCCTCCACACCTCGCCTGCCCGGCTCCAAATACGCATCTTCAGTTTTCTCCTCTTTGGCCGTTGTGCCTATGTGGGTTCGTATTTTCTACGTAATAGCTGTGTGTGCGCGCGCGTGCGTGCGTGCGCGCACGTGTGTGTGAGAGCAATACCAGAATAGTGCCACACGTATCTGTGTGCGGTTTTGGGCGTGTTAAATAGCTAGCTAGCTGTTCACTGATGAACAGCCAATTCTTCGTAGAACGTGGACGCGGGATCTTGTGGCTATTCTAGTGCTATAGCCGTAGGGAAAAATTCAAGCTTTTTCGGCGTGTTTTTTTTTACAGATTTGAACGTATTGCCCGTTACCGGTAACTATTACCGATCTTAGATTCATGTATTAAGCCACCGTTGCACATTTTAATGAAACCTAACGATATTTTCCTGGTAACAGTATCACTTTCGAGGCGTTGCTTTTGAAATTGCGATTAAATCGGAAGAAACATACTAGACTGCTGCGCTCTGCTACTTCTGATTAAATCGTTAGGATTCGCTTATTTACTTATTTACTTCCGTCTGATGTTTCAAAATTATATCAGGAGTTAATAGTCACAAATTGTGTAAATAATCACAATTTGTGATTGTTTACTCCTGATTATATTAGGACGCGATCTGTTGCGGGAAGAATGGTTCTACTTCTTGCTAGGGTTTGTTATCGGAATGTTGAAAGCGATGTAATGGCTTCAGATTGCCCCGTAAAGATTAACGGGAATTGGCGTTTATATATTCGGTCAGCTATCGTTACACTCTATTCGATCGATGGCGTGGCGTATATCATGTTATTGAATTCGTGTTAACTCAAACTTTTTAACAGCAGGCCAAGAGTAGCCAGTCGTACAGTGCTGCCCCAACAGGCGGCTATATACGGTCATGCATCGGCTGTCTACGCATGTTTACGTGTTCTGCTTGGATATATGCACGTCGTTGAAAAGAGAGCGTAGCGACTTTGTACCGGAAATATATATCTGTTAGATTTACACTATTTACCTCCGTTTCTAACCTACTAGAGGCGATATATGGAGACAATTTAGCTATCATAGCGAGGTCAACACCCTGTGCCATGCAGCGTGTTTATTGTCCAGAACTCGGGTTGTTGTCTATATGTTGAGTGGCTTGCTGTGCAGGGTAACGTTATATTCATGGAATTAGGCTTTAGCGTTGGCAACATAAGAACAACATGTTATAACCGCGCAGGGTTGTGTGGCCGCTTATGATGTCTTCTTCCATTTTTCTCCGTTTCATTAAATTTTTGAACCCACCAAAATGTTTGTACGTGTATTTGATTTTCAATTTGCTCTCATTTTTAGCTCAGCTGACGAAGTCAGATGCAGCTTGTAGAATCGCATGAATGTCCGTCCGTCCGTGTGGCAACAGTTACGGCATACATCTTAACCGCTCGACGTACGGTCTTGATATTCGGGACGTCGGGGAGGATCGCGAAAAGGACTCTGGATGTCGAATTTGGGGGGGTCAAGGGTCAAAGGTCAAGATGTGTCAATGGAGGGGGAATATTTCTCCCTTAACTTAAGGTATAGGAGGAAATACGCAATTGCGGCACAAATCTCAACGGCTCGACCTACGCTCGTAATATTCGATGTATAGTTTGATGGGGAGGAAACCCATCACCAGTGCGAAATTGGAGGTCACAGGTCAAAGGGCAGTGGGGGAAAGGTCAGATATCATACATTTTCTGAGGACGTGGTCTAACGGACCGAGTGCAAAACTTTTTTGTTTCAGCGCTGACCTACCATTTTTATCACTTTATTGAAAGGACCATGAAATGTACTTTCCGCTGACGTGCGAAGAGTAAGTGTCTGATAACCTTTTGACCCTCAAGAGGAGGGTTAAACATGGATTTGTTGATTGTTAACAAAGGACTGAACTGCTTTTGCTATTAGAGCCCCCTCCACCCGTCCCTCCCCCACCCTCCCCCTCTCTCTCCACTCCCTCACCCCCACCTTCCCCCACCACCACCACTACTATACGCTCGCACTCGACGCATATCTGACTATGATAACGTGTTAATATAGCGAAGTCATTAAAGTTACACC